GATTATTCCCTATTCTGTATCATTCATGTAGTGGTTAGAATAGGCTATCAAGAAGAGTTGGTTATGTATGCTATGATTGTATTCTATACACTCAACCATATTTTAAAAGGGTAAGACTGAGACTCCCCTGGTGGTCCAGTGGTTAAGACTCTGCACGTCCACTGCAGGGGGCGTGGGTTTGATCCCTGTTTGGGGAGCTAGGATCCCACGTGCTGCGAGGTGAAGCCAAAAAAAAAAAAAAAAAGGGTAGGACTATGTTTTATGCACTCACTTTTTTCTGTTATGCCTGGTACAGTGCCTTATAATAGGATGCTCAATATATATTAGTTTTTGTTGATAATGAAATTCTGAAAGGAAAAGAAGCAATGATCTTCCAAGCTATTGTTCCATTTTGCTTTGACCTTTCTTTCTGGTTGAAGGTTCTTAAGTCTGAAACAGTGTCAATAGCAATTTACATGATTCTATCAAGTGTGGGTTTTTGTTTTGATTCTGTTAAACTAAATGTACTTGAGAGTGAACACAGATTTTTCTCTTGCCACAAGTAAGAAATTAGAAGGAGCTTTGATCATATTTACTGCAGTGGATGATCAAGCGTGCAGGGCTAGTGTTGCATAGGGAGAAGAGCTCTGTACCAGGAGTCAGGGCGGGCTTTTCTCCAGATGTATAGACTGCATCGGCATTTTGTGTGTTTTCTAAGGTCCTAGTCGTTTAGGGCATGCCAAGACATCCCTCCTAAGGTGAAGGGCAAATTGTTGCATCTAATCTGTATCAGTTTTCTATTGCCAGGTAACAAATTACCAGAAACTTAGTGTCTTACAACAATCTGAATTGATTATCTCATAATTGATGCTGAAACTCGGCCTCTTTGCACGGGTGCTGAATCGAATCTCGGCGACAGAGTTTTGGGTGAATCAGAAAAGGAAAGCTTTATTGCTTTGCCAGGCAAAGGCAGGGGACACAGTGGGCTAATGCGCTCAAAAATGTGTGTCCCAGCACCAGGGGGATTTGGTGAGGAGTTTTATAGCACTGGTTCAAGGGTAGGGTTGCTGATAAGGATCAGGGTATGTGCAGGGCCTGCATTCCTTTGATCTGGCCTCACATGGTCTCCTGATGAGTTTCTGTGATTCTCGAGGTTATCAAACTGTGACCTTCTCTCTGGAAAGAAAAATGCTTCATCTAGTAGTTAACATCTTCCATTTGTTGGGGCTTTTAGTCCTGCAGATGAGCTGAAAAATATTATGTATCCCTTGAGGTGGAACCAGGACCCTGCTCCAAGGCTGCACTATTGTTCCTTTTTTTTTTTTTTTTTTTTTTTTTGGCCACACCGACCCTCCTGTGGGATTTTAGTTCCTCCACCAGGGATCAAACCCATGTCTCCTGCAGTGGAAGTGTGGAGCCCTAACCAATGGACCGCCAGGGAGTTCCCTGCACTATTGTTCCTTGACTGCTCCTCCCTTGTCTCCACATCCTCTCCCTTCCCTGATTAGCAACTGTTTGAACCTGCTCTTTGGAACTCTGGGAAAAGGTCATGGAGGCTGAAGCCTATTCCCTACAAACAAGAAATGGGGGACACAGAAAGGCTTCCATGCCCAGGAGCCCCACAGAGTTCTGCTCGGTTTCATGATTTCAGTAGGTCAGATGGTGGATTCTCTGCTTGGATTTCCCTGGGCTGAAATCAAGGTGTTGGCTAGGACTGCAGTTGTCCTCTGGACCTGGTCATTTGCTGCTCTCCTCTTTTTGGAGATCCTCCTTTGTTAGTGACCACATAAGGGAGGATGTGCTGCTAGAGCCAACTTTTAAATGTTTTTAAAGTACATCAGATACGCTGGATGTGGGAGGCACAGAGAGGGGAGGAACGGGTGGCCAAAGAAGGAGGAACTTTAGTAAAATGATTTTTAAGATTGTGGGGGCTGTTGGCACAGGCAGGACAGATTTTAATAAAAAAGCTAATAAAATTATCTGCACAAAAACTTTTTTGGGGGGTAGCAAGTGATTGGAAATCTAATTGTATTTTTTTAAAGAAAACAACATGAAGAGAATTTGTTGATGACGTAGTTGGAAAGTTCAGAAGTTCAGGGAACTTCAGATATGGCTGGATCCAGGGGTTCAAATGATTTTGCTAGGACTCTGGTTCTCTCCTCTTAGCCCAGCTCTTTCCTAGCCCTCATGCCACCCTGATTTTTTTAAAAAATAAATTTATTTATTTATTTATATTTTAAATTTTTGGCTGTGTTGGGTCTTTGTTGCTGTGTGCAGCTTTCTCTAGTTGCGGTGAGTGGGGGCTACTCTTCGTTGCGGTGTGTGGGCTTCTCCTTGCGGTGGCTTCTCTTGTTGCGGAGCACGGGCTCTAGGCATGCGGGCTTCAGTAGTTGTGGCTTGCGGGCTCTAGAGCACAGGCTCAGTAGTTGTGGCTCGCAGGCTCTAGAGCGCAGGCTCAGTATCTGTGGTGCATGGGCTTAGTTGCTCCGCGGCATGAGGGATCTTCCCGGACCAGGACTTGAACCTGTGTCCCCTGCATTGGCAGGCGGATTCTTAACCACTGCGCCACCAGGGAAGTCCCATCCTTTGATTTTTAACCCTTAATTGATTATACAACACCTAACTCCTCCTATGGACTCATTCTAGCAGAAAGAAGGGCTTCCTGTTATTTCTCAAGGAGGATTTCATGGATAAGGATTGTCTTGGCTTCAGCCACATGCCTCTTCTGGAATCACTGCAAGGGGGCTGGGGTGGCCTAATTGGCAGGTGGGTTTATATGCCCATTTTTGTAGCTGGGCGAGGGGTGGGGGGGTTGGTGGGGGTGGAGTGGTACAGGGCCAGCCCCACCTGTCCTGCATGGAATGATATCACTACAGGAAAGAGTGCTGTTACCAGGTGAAGCGGGTGGCTGGTGTCGGGCAGGCAGAAACAACCAATGTCCTCTATAGCATCCCTTTGGGCTTAGGTACAGGCAAGGTCATAGGGTGGAATCAGGAGGGTGGAGAAGAGATACTGACTCATCCACAGGTTTGAGTTACTTCCTTCTGGCAAGTGGGAACAGATCCACGGTTCCGGATTGTTCAGAGTATCTTGAGTATAATTTTTAGAGGAACAGTCTAACACCCTGGGAGAGTTATTCTCTTCATCTTCCTATATCCAGCTTTTCAGTATATTGTTCATGGTGCCATTTCCCTCATTACTCTGGGGCAGTGAATGAGCTTTCTTCATTCTTCCTTCTTTCTGACTCTTCAGTGACTCGGGTTTGAAAACCCCTTCTTTGTACCATCGTCTACACCTTCCTGTTTGCTACTCTTGGTTGGGTCTTTATTGTCATGGGCAGGGACTGTCAGGTGTCTACTCACCAATCTGTGCTTTGAGCCACTGTCAGATGAATCTGATTAAATCTTGTTTGTTTGTTTGTTTTTGTTTTTGTTTTTTTGCGGTACACGGGCCTCTCACTGTTGTGGCCTCTCCCGTTGCGGAGCACAGGCTCCGGATGCGCAGGCTCAGCGGCCATGGCTCACGGGCTCAACCGCTCAACGGCATGTGGGATCTTCCCGGACCGGGGCACGAACCCATGTCCCCTGCATTGGCAGGCGGACTCTCAACCACTGCGCCACCAGGGAAGCCCTAAATCTTATTTTGATCATGTCAATTTTCTTCTTTTAACAACCTTCATTTGCTGCAGGTAAGTATTTAGATGCACTCCGTATTTCTTATTTGGCATTCCTAGTCCTCTGTGATATGGCTTTGTCTCCTATATCCTGTCCTCAGGCCACCTGTCTGTGTGTAGTCAGTACACATGCCCAGCCCTGCTTCTGCACTGTGCTCACCCCCCCTTCTCACCCAAAACTGTCCCCTGCCCTCCTTCCCACTTCTGAATCCACCACATCTACTAAGACTCACCCCAAGTCCAACCTCTCCCGTGAAGACTTCCCTAATTTTTCCAGTTCACTATTATTTCTTCAGATTGTTTCAGAGAAGAATCATGGGACTTCTTTTCTGAGCTACCTAGTATATACTTCAGCCTACTCTCTTGAGTTGTTAGTTATCTTTTCATGATAAATATTGTTTCTCAACTCACCTCAAGGCAAAGGCATTTGCCATAGCTGTGTGACTTCAGAAAACCTCTCTGAGCATCCATTTCCCCCCCTTTGCAATGTGAGAGATAGCTACCATGCAGAGTGGTTGAAAGGATTAGCCAGGATACCTGTAAAGGGGCTCTCCCCGTGCCTGGTACATGAATCGAGTGTCACGATTGTTAGCTGGAGGCATTGCTGAGCAAGGGAAAGAAGTCCCATCCCGATGCACCTCCACACCCTTCAGCATCTGGTATGTCCCCTGAACCTCGTATCTGAAAACGAGGATTTAATTCAATAAGCATTTTGTTTTAGGTTGAGTTCCCTCAGACGCAGATCCTGAGACAAGGATGTACATGTGAAGGTTTATCTGGGAGGCGACCCCAGAATAGCAGAAAGGGAGTGAGAAGGGGAGATACTGAAGGAGAGGAAGCCAAGGCGGGACACATTCACAGACAGGTTACCACTGAGGGCAGCTGGGCTCCAACCCACTGGGAACCTCTGGGATGCTTTGTAGAACATGTTTAGGGTTGTCTGCCAGCGAGAGAGGAAGCTGATACCTTTGTCCACCAGAGTACATCCATCATTGACTGCTGGCTGCTAACAGGGGCCCTAACTTCACCACACTTCTGGCCGGTTCCTGCCCGTGGCTGAGTTGCTGCAGTGGAGAGAGTTCTCAGGCAGGGAAATCCAGGGTGGGGTTGCCAGATTTAGTGAATAAAACTACAGGATGGCCAGTTAAATTTGAATTTTCGATAAAAGACAAATAATGTTTTAGTGTGTGTTATGGGCTGAATTCTGCCCCCTCCCTAATTCATATGTTCAAGTCCTCAGTCTCTCAGAATGTGACGGTATTTGGAGATAGGATATTTACAAAGGCAATTAAGATAAAATGAGGTCACTGGCGTGGGCCCTAATCCAATATGTTTGGTGCCCTTATAGGAAGAGATTAGGACACTGTCGCACACAGTGGGAAGACCACGTGAGGACACAGTGAAAAGATGGACATCTATCTACAAGCCAAGGAGCGAGGCCTCAGAAGAAACCAACTCTACCAACTTCTAGCCGTCAGAATGGTGAAAACATACATTTCTGTTGTTTTTATACCCCCTAGTCTGGGTTACTTTGTTATTATAGTCCTAGCAAACAAATACAGTGTGTTACAATATTGCGAGGGATGCAGTTATACTAAAAAACTACTTTTTGTTTATCTGAAATTCAAATTTAATTGAGCTTTCTATATTTTATCTGACAACTCCAATTCAGGGGCTTGTTTAAGGGATAAGAACAGAGCAGTGTCTTCATTTATTGAGTATCTACCATGTGTCTGGAGTGGGGTTTATTGTGGGAATATGTAATTAATGAATGTCTCCAGACCCTGTTTGCTTACCTCTCAGTGTTGTAATTAGGCTTGAATGAATGAAGGAGGTGTTTAGAACTGCTTTGAAAATTATAAAGTACTACACAAACAAATGAAATAAAATTATTCATTTTTCACCTATTTCCTAAAACTCCCAGAATAGTGTCTGGTACATAGTAACTGCTCAACAAATATTTGGTAAGTCAAAAGGAATTATTATTATAGGTCATCAATAAATAATTATTTATTTGTTGATGAATGTCCTAAGACTCAGGTAAGACTATTTTTTAATATCTTCCTAGGTCTTAGACATGCTTATTTTTAGAGCCTTGCCTCACATCACATCATTCATATTGAAGTGAATATCTCATGTGTGAATCAAGGGATTTTATATATATATGATATATATATTTGCTGTAGGCAGTTTTGAATTAATTTTATATATTTTTATAAATTATTATTTATAATTTAGTTTTTGAAAATATTTGTCTATGAGTAATTCACTTCAGATTGATTTTTCAGTTTAAGAGGGTGAGGGACCCCATGAACTTGGATGAAAAGAAATTCTTATTTTCATTAACTTCAAACTGAAATTTGGCATTTTCTTTAATTATGAATATAAGCCACATATTAACATTAACAGTATCTGTCTCACCAAAAGAAGTCACAGATACATTAAAATCACATTACAGGGTTACAGATATCTCAAAATATCATTTATATTTATTGTTACTTTAAAAATATAGTAGTTATTAAATCTACTGCTACATCTCATCATTTAATGCATTCATAAATGAGCACATAAGTTACAAGTTAGTTTTCAAAAATATTTTGAAAATTTTATTTGAAAATAGTTGATTTTCCTTGTAATATGCTTAAAAGGATTTTTTATTTTTGGAATGCATTCCAGAAACTTCACCAGACTTCCGAAGGGATATATGGCACAAAAGTTGTAAAGATTCCCCTGCTAGTGCTTCATGGGTGAAACAGCCTAGGTGTGAAGCTCAGGTGACTCCTGCCTGGCTTTGCTTCTTTGTTCTTTTCTGGAACAAAGGAGGCACTTATCGGACTCAGAAGAATTGCATGCAGAAGCAAGAGAAAGTCAAAGTATGTCTAAAGTTTACTGGAAAAATTACTGCGTGTGGAGTAAAAGGACTTTGGATCCAGTCCAGGCTTAACTTTACCATCCTTGCATCAGGTGCATTTGTTCACTGTCAACAGTGATTTACTGAGGGCTGATCATCCACCAAACCCTGAGCATGGGCCTTGGAGAAGGGTTCAGTCCCTCTGTCACTCACCAGCTGAGTGACTTTGAATAAGTTATTTCATATCCCTAAGCCTCAGTTTTCTAATCTGTAAAATGGAGACACTGATCCTTAATTTATAGGGTTGTTGACAGGATTAGATAAGAGAATGGGTGTAAAGTACCATAAACACATAAAAGATTACAAGTTACTATGAATCACCATTCTGTCCAAGTCCTGCATCAGTGGTGTTGCTAGATGTGAAAGAAAAGCAGATAAAACTGTCTTCTCTTTTAGGGAAAAAAAACCCAAACATGTCCTTTCAAAGAATGGAACTGAACTTAACTGAGTTCTTGTTAGCTAAAATTTCAAGGTTAGGGGGAATAGTCTTATGACAAATGCATCTTTTTTTCTTTTGATGGTGCTTATTTTACCTGAGACACAAAGAGAAAAAAAACCCTCAAAAGACTGATAAACTATTTAGTTTACTTTCCTTTATTACTTATTGAAGATATTTAACCTCTTAAATGCTTTTGAAACATTGTTCATATAATTTCATAAGTCATGATAGGGATTACTGTGAACATATATGAAGGCTAAAATTTGTATCCCTCATCAGCAACCTAACTAAACTTTTCTTAAAAGGTATATTATATTAAAAAATATAAAAAGCTCTACTCGCAATTATGATTTAAGAGAGCCACTCCACTGTTCTTTTTCTTGATAGTTTATTTTCTAAAAGCCTAAATACAAGGCATTCTTTTATTTCCATTTGTATTGTAACTTCCGCCCTTCACAGGTGTAAACCGTGTTAATTACAGTAATCACCACCAGGTTGCGCTGTAGTTCCACAATGGAAACAGACTAGGGTCTGTGAAGATTTCTCGGAGGTCTTAGTTAACCATATTGTTTCTGTTTTTCGAAGCAAAGAGGGGTGGAGACAGATACTTAAAAGGAAAAAGAAAAGTCTATGCTGAAAACAAAGAATTCCAAATTCACTATGATTAAAAAATGTGATATTCAGCAGAAAAGATTTTCTCTGAGAATATTGTTAAGGTTCTTTTTAGAAAAAATTGCTCAGTACTGTTAGTTAAAACTATTTTCCTGATGGCAAACAAAACAAAACAAGACAAAGCAAAACAAAACTCTGTAGAAAGTTTTGTTTCCTATTTTCTCTAGTTGATGGATAAGACTATTTTTTAACATACCAAGATAAGGTGTATTTTATTTAAAAATCATAATGGTATCTTTGATATAAATCAGGCTTTGGAAAATATATGTACATTCCAACTTGAAACAACTTCAAAAAAAGTAAAGCTCCCCCCCTCGCCCCGCCCCTTTTTCTTTTCTGCTCTTGTTTTTCCCAAATGTCAATATTTATGAGTCAGGGGTTGTGGGAAATGTTACCTAGAGCCACAAGGGGCCAGAGTTTGCCCTCTTCTATCCCTGGGGAGTTGAGTATGAGTGCCAGAGGGCAACATTTGGCTGGAAGGACCCAACCCCTTCTTTCTTTGCACCCTGTAGTATGCCCTTTGAAGTGAAGGAAAATTCTGTACTCAGCTCTGCTTTATAAGATGTCAACTCAAGATGAGCAATGCATACAGGTTTCTGTATATCCCTTTGGCATAAAAACAGATGCAGATGCAGACTTACAGAAAGCAAAAAAGCCAGAATTATGCAAGTAATTTTGAGAACTCCTCAGATAACATATTCACAAGTCTAAATTTCTGGATATTGCCTGTCAAATTTATTCAGTTAAAAAAAAATTCTGGATAAGACCTTTTTTTTTTTTTTGTCATATCGCTATCAAAACATCAGTCACTTTAGGTTTAACCCCTTTTAGGATTTGGGTGTCGTTAGTTTTAGCAATGGTAAAGACAGAAGGCAATGACGATGAAACACTCACAGAAATAAGGTAAGAATCTCAGAAAACATTAGGAAATTGTGGAGCTTATATTTATCATATAGTTGAGTTGCTATCCATCAAGATGATGAAAACAATTCATTATTTAGTCCAATGCCTTCTTTTAGTTTGTTTCCTTTCAAATTGTCAGTCATTAGGGGCTGAACAAGAAAATAAAAGCTGAAAATGAACAAGCTTTAATAGGCAGAATACACTGGGAGATAAACTGGAAAATTGGGGCCATTAACAAATGAAAAAAACATCAAAAACAGTTTTAAAAACAAAAAAGTCACCAGTAAAATATGTTTCTAAGGTCAATTGAAATGCCCTGACATTGATTCTCAGCTTCCTCTTTGTTTTATTTGAAGACTCTTCTCTTTATTTTTTTCCTAATTTAAATCTTTAACTTATTACCTCCATAGGTGGTTAAGTCTCCAAGTGTCTTTTAACTAAGTTTCATTTTTTTTCTTTATTCTATTTATTTCAACAATTCTTTATTTAGCTTGCTTTATTTTTATATGTCCCACCCAAACACTTAACTGGTTCAAGCGCTTAACTGGTTTCCAAAGGCTCCTTGTAAAAATAACAAGATAAAAATTCATAGAACATTTTATTTTCCCAGATTGGGAGATAATTACACTTTCATTTTGGGGAAAAGTGTGGCAAAATAATTATTGAGATTAATGAAAAAAGTGATTAGGGGGGTATGTTAACATCAGTTTTTGGGGGGAAAAAAATGGCTCTCTGTGGGAAGATACTTACATTTCATTTTCCAAAAGCCGTTGGCTTTTTTCTCAGTGGTCAGCTAGTTCTGAATGCATTTCTCCCACTTGCCAGTGGTGTGCCAGTGTTCTGCTGTTTAAATTCCCTACACCTCAGTTTCTTTATCTATAAGTGGGGATAAACTATTTAGCTCAGAGATGCTGAGGGAATTAAATTAGTACCGTGTTCAGTTTTTCATGAACAGTAGGTGCCCAGTGTTTGATGATTTCCTTCTGCCTTTCATCATCAACAGGAACACAAAAAACAAAATGCAGGTTTATCCACATATAACACCTCTATGGCGGCCAAATAGAAAACTTGTTTAAACTAATTTGTATGGCACCTAACATTCCAGGACGTGCCATTCTTGCAACCCCATCATAGACATGCCTAATGAAATTAGCTTTGGAAACAAGACTTTGAAACCAACATTATAAATTCCTGTAGGTAGACTTAGTATTTTAATATTTTGTTAATATTCATGTGTATGTTTAACATATGTTTATCTGTTGTGCATAGCATATATGTTACCAAACTTAGGTTTGGCTGCTTGTGGCTCGAAAGCCCATACTTGAAGCCCATAGCTTTATTCAGGAGGCTGGCAAACTGGGGAGAAGTTGGACTCGTGTGCAAAAGCCAACTCTGAAGATTCTGTTTGATCATGAAAGTTTTTAAGGGGAGACTCATTTGGGGAGGGGGGGTCAAAGTCTTCATTATCTTCCATTCTGTGCATACTTTCTTCTGATTGGCTCGTGGTAAGGTAACAGAATGGTGTCCCAGGCATACTGTGCTCAGCCTGAAGTTACC